TTTCCTGTGCCCTGCACCGACGTACTTTTTCGGTCTGTGGAGAATACAACGGGCTCACAACCGAATCAACTTCGAAGACTCTGTAATCGCTGCACTGACATGCTTCAGAGTATCCAAACAAGACGCTTGATAAAGGCGACACTTGCATCAGACAACTCTTTTCTAACCGACCCATCTCTCCCGCTGTACCAGTATTTCAAAAGATGCCATTCAAAGCTAGCAAGCAAAATACCTACGTGCATTCCTTGCATGTGCTGGACTGAAACATACCCCAAATCAGTGGTTCAGCTCGGTGTTAACGTCTGATCGATCCCAAAAAACTGTCATTTTGAGCAGGATTCTGGTCAGTCTGATACCAATCCACTTTCACTGACGGTTTTCTTTGTAACTTTTGTTCGCTGCTGCATCCACGGTTTCTGGCAGCTTGCCGTGGGCCATAGGGTTCTCCTAAGAACGCTTCACTCGCAGACAGACTAACTGATAGACTGACTTATGAAGCGTAATTCTATTTTATTCCAAAACTTACTGTCTGTTCGAAATTGTTTTAAATATGAAATACTGCTTGTGTTCTTATTCATGTAAGAATGACAAACAAGGCAAAATCAGCATTGTCAGGCGTTCTGTCTGGCTGAGGTTGATCAGAAAATGGGTTCGTCAGACTCAGACATGTCATATATCACATGTTAATGCAGACTGATCACAAACATGAGTTTTGCTTGGGAAACTAGTCACCGTGTCATATTCGTCAACGATATTACTCGTCATAATTTTTCTAACAGGATTGCGATGACCGGTTGAAATAATCACTGCCTGTTGGACCTTCACAGACAAAATTATCGATGTCGAAAGGACTTGGAATGAAGAAGTGAATCTCAAAATGGACATTATATTGCAGATTTCGACTTTTAAATATGATCTAATGATAACCCTGCTAATACGTTGTAATTCCCTTGAAAAGTACGCTCTCTGGAGAGAAGTGCCGCTAGCGCGATAGTCGCTGAAAGATTCACCTGACATGGATGTTAGCATTTGTAGTTTTTTCAGGGCGTTTTGAACTGCAATGGATCGTCAGCTTCCAAGAAGCGTTTAGCAAAAAAGAATACATCGCAATCCGGTAATTG